AATACTTCCATTATTGTGGAAAGTTCTAAAGGGCAGCTCTGCAGTATTTCCAAGTAATAAAATTATTCTTCAGGACCATAAGATTATTCTCGGATTAACTGCTTTATTAAATTAAAAGGTGGAAGTAGAAGTGAGCAATAATATAAACATCTACTTACATTTTGCAAGACTCTTTAGAAGGTAAAGAATAAACATGCTGATTTGACTCCTATAAAACATGACCACAGTACAATGTATTGAAACACACAGAAAAGCCAAATTTAAACCAATGGTCCTCACTTTAGCAGGCATCAGCAAGCATCACCAGGGAACATATTAAGGTAAAGAAACCCAGGTCCCACCACAAATATTCTGAATACATAAGTCTAAGGCACAGCCCAGTAAGGCCTATTTTTAATAACATCCCGATTATTTTGATGTTAGTAGTTGGAGAACCACACTCAGTACATCACAAAGGCTTTACACATACTGTGTTCAGTGAAAAATTCCAAAGCTATGAAGACATTCCAAGTAACAGATACCTGAGGTAGGTACCTCAAGATGACAGCATGAGCTATGGAGTCTAGATCTGGGTTTAATTTCTGTTCCTGTCACTCTGCTGTTGGTGACTTCAGACAAAACATTTAACCTTTGTAATTCTTATCTTCCTTATTTGCATGAAAAAAAGACAATATCGGCCTCAGATATATCAATCTCAATATCACATATCAAAATAAACCTAAGGGGCCGGCCTGTGGCTCACTCGGGAGACTGTGGTGCTGATAACACCAAGGCCACGGGTTCGGATCCCATATGGGGATGGCCGGTTTGCTCACTGGGTGAGCGTGGTGCTGACAACACCAAGTCAAGGGTTAAGATCCCCTTACCGGTCATCTTTTAAAAAAAATAAATAAATAAAATAAACCTAAGAATAAAAAAAACTCTTCTCATAAAATTATTATATAAAAAGGTGAATACTTATCTCTAGATAAACATAAAGGTAACGAAATAAAGCAAAATAAAGGCTGATAGACTTTGTCAACAAGACACCCATAAACAAAATTAAAAGACAAAGTAGAAAAATATTTACCAACATATGAGAAATTCATAACAACCTCAAACAACAGGCTAAGGAACACATTAGTTGTTCACAAAAAGGCAGCATTCATTAACAAACTAAATTTAAACTTTAAATTTTACGAATAGCAGCAAGTATCCCTAAGTATTCAATTAAAAAAAAAAAAGAGATTACAAATGTGATCTCTGTTCTTCAGAAGGTTCTTGGGGATTTACAGATGAATAGGTGACTTCTTACTAGAGGAGATAAAATTCACTGAGCACTCAAAATCCATCTAGTGGAGATAACCTAGCTTTAGTATTCTCTCTGCTTTGAGACCAATTGACCATTGGTTCAATCTATATTATTCCTTCTACTGCCATCTTAAAAATTACTTCCCCAGAAGTAGCTACACCTAACCTCAACTAAAACGAGTCCAATTCTGTATGTTCTTATACTGCTGCTGTGCTGTGCGCTAGATCTAAGAATTGTGGAGAGAAAAAAATCCTATTCTGTGCTAAAAAAGAAATATATACATATGTGTTTGTACATGCAAAATATATTTCTAAACAGGTACACAGAAACCCTTAACAGCTGATGCTATAAGGTGGGGGTAGGGACTTAAGACTCTTGGATGGGAGGGGGATTTATTTATTTACCATGTTCCTATATGAGTTTTCAATAATAAAAGAAAACATTTTAAATGTGTTGATGTGGGGAGGATATATACAGAGGAAAATATAGAAGGATTCATTCAACAAACCTTTGGGCAACAAGATTGGACCCATTCTACTGATAAATATTTGCTGAACATCTTCTCTGTGTGAGGCACTCTTCTAAACACTAGTGATACAACACTGAGTAAAGCCAAAAAAGAACAAACAAAAACCAAAAAAACTGTCTACTCTTACAGTACAATAGGTAACTTCTAATCAGACAAAGAACAAGAATTGTGGATACTTCTCTAGATAGATGAATGAATGGACTTCTTCCAAACAATTTAAGTCTTGACGGGAAGAAAAGAACGCAAAAAGAACATTCTCAAATTTTCAAATGCCATCTACTAGTCAAGAGACCAGTCAATTGAGAAAGATTATAAAGACTGTAAGCAAAAAGTGGTCATCAAATTTTAGCACAAGCAAATACAGTAGCTGCTGACCAACCTAACTTAACATGTATAAAATGAAACCAAGATATGACATAGATGACGTATTCTTAGAAGTCTTTATAGTGAATGACTTAAAATCATTAGTTCTGAGTACTGCCCTTAATTCACCATGTACTGTTGGGCCCTTAAACAGAACTACAATACATTTAAATCTTCCATATTACATGCAGTCTTGACTGATGGAGCTTAAGAAAGAGGCAACAGAACTAAGGTAAACAGAAGATTGAAATGACCATGTAAATTGCAAAAGTGCTATGAGAACAGACCATGACAACAAAAATACTTAGAAAACAGTTTAAGACCTGATCTTAAAAGAATTCATTAGACTTGGAATTCATAGAAGAAACAAATACATCACAAACTTGACTAACCAAATTAACGAACAAAGGTTCTAAGAGAAGCTGGGTTAATACCAGTTCTAAGATTGATTGGGGAGTATGCTCTCCTTCAGTATGTGCCTTAGAGGCACTGATGGCCCCAGGGCTTTTATATTTTACATCTGTCTTGAGCCCAACCCAGCAAGGCCATTCTTTAATTACTAATCCAAATTACATAAACCTCATTGCAGCAGTGAACAAAAGATAGATTTATCTAATTAGACTATGTAGAAAAGTCATTTACTGCTGATAGTGATTCAAATCTCAGAGAAACTGACAAAAGAACTCAGTGATAAGAGACAGTTTCCAGGTCACCAACACATGCTGATACTGCTTTTATTCTTCAATACAAGAGAATTCTACTTTTAGGTTTTTTACTTTAAAATCTGTCAACATGGAAAAATAAAATGAAGTGACAAACATTTAAAAATATTTTAATATGAGTAATTCATGGAATTTATTATGACTAGATACAGTTTGTCACTAGTATCTGAACATTTAAGCTTGTTATTATAGGGTTTAATTTACCAAATGGTGTTCAGTTTACTTTGTGGAGAAGACTCATGCTTTTTAAAAGTTTATTATGACATTCCGTTATAACCCCATAAGAAAAGTCTTCCCAGTGATGTGCGAAAATACAAATTTAAAAGTGACTCACGTTCAATTTGAGACCACCCCCTTCACCCTAAAAGAATGGCAGGGCGGGGGAATGGGGGGAGGAGATAAGAGTGAGGCTGTGCAATTGAAGCAAGTGCACCAACACAGATATTAATAACACTTTTAATATTATAAATAGCAAAGGTATAAAAGACAACAGCTAAATATGAAGGGTTCAATGTTGCTTCTCAAAACAGAAATTAACATCAGATTTCAATTATCCTGCTAATGATTCAATGTAAAAAGGTGAAATTTACCTTCATACACATATAGGACACTAAAGAGGATAAAAGGGTAAAAGCCTTTTTATTGAATGAGACTTAAAACAGTGAAAGCCAGAATGCAAATGACCTAGGTGTCACCAGTCAATTTAAAGTTGTGAATTCTGGCTTTAAGCTAGATACTTGTTTTAAAGCACAACAAACAGGCCATAAAGACAAATTAGAAAAGAGGGAGGGCTCAAAAAAAAAAAGTGAAGACTTGTGTACAGATCATTTACTGGAAGTAGAAAAGTAAGCCTGATTCCTCAAAGGGGATATGTGTAGCCATACAAAGAATAAATGCTATTTACAAGAAATAACTAGAAAACTGGAAACAACACAGCAAGAATCACCCAGATTTAAAAGAGAAAGAGTTCTAGAAACAAGGGGGACTGCAAAAGACCAAAATGTATATAAAAATGTATACTGTTTAACATAAAGCTATATGCCAATTTACAACCTAAGTCAGACTTATTATCAGAGGAGATTAAAGTAGAAATCAATCTAAACCATGAATCTTATCCTTCCACTCCAAAAGTAATATTCTAAGGACCTTTTCCAAGACTGTTCTCTTAGCAATTAAGAAAGGACTATACAAAATTAGCATAGTCTTCTCGGACCCATTTTTCTACACGAACCTTTCAGAATAACATTCTAAAAACAAATGTGATAGAAAAAGTAAAAAATAAAGCCAGCAATTTTCTCTGTTAATTATGCAACTCAGTAGGCATGTTACTCTGAAAAGCACACACACTAAGCTCAACTCTTCATAACAAATATTTCAACTAAATGCCATTACTCTACTTGTGAAGATTTACAAGTTATGTTCAAAATCAGCACCTTAGTACAGGAGTGTAAATTTTACATCAAAACTAATAATATAAAAACATACTTCTGACATGTTTGAAGCAAGAGTTGACATTTCAAACACCAAAAATTTAAAGAGACAACTAATACTAATGTATTAGTATTATAAACAGAAACGTTTGACGTCTTAAATCATTGTGTTAGCAATTATTTCTGCTAAACAAACAACTAGCTCTTTGAAAGGGTTATTTCAAAAGAATGTAACAATTACATTAATCCCAATTCACAATATTTCACACAGTATCAGTCCAACAGTTAAGATGTGTCACAGAACAAGTAGGCTTGCCCAAATTATACTATACATTAGCATTGAAATTAGTCAAATGTTAAATATAAAACTTAAATGAAGAAAATCGATGTAATAACTCTTTGAGAAAGGAAATGTTTCTTTTTTTTATCTTTTAGCTTAAAAGGCCTGGCAGAGCCTGAAATGGTGCTTGCAATTTGATTCATCACAAACTAAAAAATCACAAAAACAAAATCTCCATATTTGAAGCAAAACGTTTATCACGTGAGTTACCTTTACCGTTAATTCAGAACACTAAAATAACATTAAAACCAACGAATTTTTTTATGCACATCGATTTACTTTAAAATTTGGTAGCAGTAAAAACTGACAATGAAATAGTACTTACATTTCTATTGAATTTGGTGAAAGAATGGTACATATAAAACCTGTGCATATAAACAATCGCAGTGTTTATTGTAAGCTGAGAGCTGGAACGTAACATTTAGGAAACATCTGAGAAAAACAAGATCTCATTTGCAAACCAATCTTGATGGAAAATTCCCGATCTCCGGGTTCTTTTCCAATGCCTCCCAAAAACTGAAAAATAAAAGCCCGCGAGGTGGAGGGGGTAGGCAGAAAACAGGCTCGACGCCAAGCAAATAGGAATAACAACTGCTGAGCGTTTCACTGTCATACTACTATTAAGAAAGCCCTGGAACTATTTATCAATGGCTACGAATGACTAAATTCAATAGCAAACAGTTGAAACCCGCGTGCACACGCCCGTAGAAAACCACACCAAGAATATAAAGACCTCCAGTGCGCTCCCAAGGTACAAGAGAACCGCCATCAAGCCGGCGAGGACTGCGGGGAAAGGATTAAACCTTGCTGTTTCTCTAAGTTTCCTACCTCTCAACCCCTTCTCGGACGGGGAATAGAAGGAGCCACCCTTTCTCTGCGATAATCCTTAAAATCGCCTCTCTCCTGGGCTTCCTCCTGTCCCCCGACGCCACCACGCGCTTCCCAAACAGATTACACAACGCAGCCTCCCGTCCGCATCCCCGGGTTCCTCTCTCCTCCTCCCCTCCGCTGGGCCCTCGCGGCCGCCGGAGCCCGAGCCTTCCTCCCTCACAGCGCGGACGAGGCCCGGCGAATGCCGAGGCGGAGGCGCCATGTTCGCGGGGCACAAGGCCCAGCAACCGGGCCAGGTAGACAGGGGTGAGCGGCGGAAGGCCAAGAATAGTAAAGGATACACATTGAGACGCTGTCCCATTTCTTGGATGAGGTTGGCCGCCTGCTGGCGGCACGAAAGCTCTTTATCCGCCTCCACTCCGCAGCGGCGGCTCGGCGTGTTCTCCAGCTGTTCGCGAGTAAAGAACCAGCGAGAAGAAGCTCCACGGCCCGACGCCATGACACTTCCTCCTCCGCCCGCTCCCGAACCCACCCCCCTCCCCTCCCAGCTCGCGGACTCCCGGCCAAGGCCGCGCGGCCCCGCCCCACTCCGCTCGCCGTAGACCACGAACCTCCCTTTTCAATCCCGCCACCGCCTGCGCGCGTGCGCGGGGGCAGCCCCCACCGGCTCGCCCTAGTGTTTTGCTTTCTCTTTTCTGCCCCCGATCACGCTCTCGCGCACGGTTGTCAATGCTCCGCGCCGCGTGTCATTGGGAGGCGCCGAAGGCGGGGGTCGGCTCGGAAGGAAAAGGTCGGCGCGATGCATGCCGGGTGTAGGGTAGGGTTGGCGGGGCGAACGCGAGGGGACGACCCGATGGAAAAGTCTAGGCTCGCGTTTGGTGGAGAGAGAGGCTGTCTGGAGGCTGCGCAGTGGAGTCCTGGGGGGTGGGCTCTGAGGCCCCGGCGGGTTCTTCCTGAGACGGAGTCTGGCGGCTCTTTAAGAAGAGAAAAGTCTTTCCCTGTCGCGGCCTTATTCCACAGCCTCCATTTTCCTTTCGGGTTGGTCAGCGCCGTCTCGTAGGGGTGCGACTCCAGTGTCCACCAGGAACGGCTTCCGTCCAATGGGCGGCTCTAGGAAGGAGCTGGCTGGGAAATAATGCATAGGAAATAACGCTCCACGTTTGTCCCCGTTTGAGAGCTTCCCTTCCCTACGTTATCTTGTTGGCACCATGCAGGCCATGGGTTTGTTTTTTAAAGTTAGGTGCCAAACGTTACCCATTCAGAAACTGGAGGAACTACAATAAATTTGTAAAACAGGTCTTGAGTCCAGACTGGGAGTGTGTTTTTAATTGTGCTATGGTTTCTGCGAGAAAAGGTTGGAGAGAAACAGTGAAAGAGCAACTGAATAAAAAGTTTATCGTTAGCATTTGATACAGTAACATCCCACATACTTGTCGATTCACCACTTCTCCTCTCCCTTACAGAAGATGCTACAGAACGTAACTCTGGGAGTTGGTGTCTGACTCTGGACCAATCCCTATTGTGTGTGAATAAAGCTTGTACGTTTTGAATTTTAACTATTTGCCAAAGACCACAGTACAAGCAGACATACTTTTGAAAGGCAAGTGATGCCCTATTAAAGCTCCAGGCTTTTTGTTTGTCATTGTTTTGGGGCTCCTGGGTCAGCATACTGCTGTATCATGGCGCTGCCTGCCCCATTGCACTAGAATATTGATCTGATAATAGTAGGCAGTTATCGTGAACAGTTGCCTAAATAACTTCATTTCTTACCCGCTTTGCTTGCCTCATTCTTATGTTTCTTAGAAGTTCCAGGATGGACTGATTTCAAGCAACATTTAAAAAGTGCTTACCTCCAACATCCATTCATGATAAAAACTCAGTAAACTAGGAATAGAGAACTTCCTCAACTGGATAAAGAGCATGTACAAAAACCCTATAGTTAACAAATACTGGCGAGAAACTAGATTCTTTCCCCCTGAGATCTGGGACAAGGCAAGGGTGTCCCCTCTTGCTGCTCTTTTCAGCTTTGTAGTAGATGTCCTAGCTAACACAATAAGAAAAGGAAATAAAAGGTATGCAGATTGGGAAGGAAGAAATAAAACTGTTCACAGATGACGTAATTGCTTATGTAGAAAATCCCAAAGAAATAACACAAATTCTCCTGCAACTAATCAGCAATGATAGCAAGATTTTATGATACAAGATGAATATACAAAAGTTTATTGCTTTCCTGTATACCAGCAATAAACAGTTGGAATTTGAAATTAAAAACACAATACCATTTACAGTAGTACCTCCCCCACCAAAGTAATACTTAGGTTTGAATCTAAAGTATGTACAGGATTTATATACAGAAAACTACAAAACCCTGATGAAAGAAATCAAAGATCTTAATAATGGAAGGATATTATGGGCTTATGGATGGGAAGACCCAATTTAAAAGTCAATTCTTCCCAACTTAGCATACAAATTCAATGCAATTCCAACCAAAATTCTAGCAATTAATTTTGTAGATATTGACAAATTGATTCTAAAGTTTATATGGAAAGGCAAAAGACCAGGAATAGCCAACAATACTGAAGAACGAGGTGGAATGATACTGACTTCAAATCTACAGTCATCAAGAACATGTAGTATTGGTAAAAGATAGACTCATAGATCAATGATACAGAATGGGGAGCCCACACAAATACAGTCAACCCACCTTTGACAAAGGAGCAAAAGCAATTCAATGGAACAAGGATAGTCTTTTCAACAAATGGTTCTGGAACAACTGGACATTCACATAAAAAAAAAGTGAATCTAGATATAGACTTTATGCCTTTCACAAATTTTAACTCAAAGTGAATCATAGACCTAAATATAAAATGCAAAATTATAAAACTTGTACAAAATAACATAGGAAAAATGTACGTGACCTTGCATTTAGCAGTGAGTTTTTGGCAATGAGAATACACACACACAAAAAAACAGGTAAAAATTTGTTCTTTCTGGAGATGGAGACTGGTAGACATAGGTTGAATTTTTTTTTTTTTCCTTTTTGTCTTTTTTCGTGACCGGCAACGGATCGCAACCCTCACAAAAAAACAGGTAAAAATTTGTTCTTTCTGGAGATGGAGACTGGTAGACATAGGTTGAATTTTTTTTTTTTTTCCTTTTTGTCTTTTTTCGTGACCGGCAACGGATCGCAACCCTCAGTGTCATGCCCGTACCAGACCGGACCGGCAACGGGATCGCAACCCTTGGTGTTGCCCCCACACCTCGCTCAGCCAGTGAGCGGGAACCGGTCTGTATGTGGGATCCTAACCCTCGGTGGGAGCGCCGGCACGCTCCCAAGCAGCGCACTGTAGCAGTGTGCCACCGGGCCGGCCGACATAGGTTGAATTTGATCTGTTTGAACTTTAACATGTGTTTGTGTTGTCTTTTCAAAAATAAACTAAAATTTTTTATTAAGTTGTGAGTAGTTTTTTATTTTCAGAAATGGAAACTTCAGTTTCAATTTTGATTGGGAAAAATCTTAAGAATGGTCTCCATATGTTAAACAAATTTAAAATTGATATTTATCTAGATAAGTTAATCTTAAGTGATTACCTTAAATATAGGTTTATGTGTTCTGGTTGGTTAATATGAACTGAGATGAGTCAGCTGGCTTCCTTTTTAGAGGAAAGAGGGGAAGATACTGTACAAGGAATAGAGAGAAATGCTTGTGTAAGTATGAATGTTTGTTTCTCCTTTAGAATCTGGTGATGGATGTGATTTTTTTTTTTTTTTCAGGGTATATTTTGGAGAAGTACTTGTGGTAGATAAGGAAGGAGAGAAAAGGCTTATAATTCCTGAAAGACTTTTCTAGATTCTGGTGTGAGCAGTATTGTTCTAGGGCCAGGCAATGAAATATGGCACTGAGAAAGCTCTTCTCTTTACCTTTGCTCAGAACCTTGTACTTCTAATGGCATCTGAGAAGAGTATCTGCTATTACCAAATAGTATCCTTGGAAGAAGAGGAAAGTCGAAAGTCGAATGTAGACCCATACAGAAGTAAGACCATGTGAAGACACAGGGAGAAGACACCAGTCTATGAGCTAAGGAGAGAGGCCTGAGAAGAAACCAATCCTGCTGTCAGTTTGATCTTAGACTTCTAGCTTCCAGGACTGTGAGAAAATAAATTTCTGTTGTTTAAGGCATCCAGTCTGTGTACTTTGTGACAGCAGCCCTAGCAAACTAATATAGCATTCTTTGGAGATGCCCGGAAGGAACGAATGGATTCTGTAGAGGAGTTATCACTAGGATAATGACGACTTAAGCCATTGTGAATAGTCACAAATTTATGATGCCTAGCCATTTGGATTATACTCAGAACTATGTGAATTCCCCACACACCCAATGAGGATTGGTTTTTTAACTCCTTGCTTTGCTCATCTTAGGAAGATCCATTTGTTTATTTATTTATTTATTTATTTTACTAGTTTTACTATTTTATTATTCAACAAATGTTTATGGAGATGTTACTATGGGCTAAGAAATTCGAATTGTATAAGTCTGTATACTTGACTTCCCATTTTGTGTGACTCAAAGGCATTAAAATTCAGTACAGTAGTCCCTCCTTATCCTTAGGGGCTACGTTTCAAGACCCCAGTGGATGCCTGAAACTGCAGATAGCACCAAACCCTATATGAGTGTATACTATGTTTTTTCCTATACATACATACCTATGATAAAGTTTAATTTATAAATTAGGTAAGAGATTAACAACAACAACTAATAGTAAAATAGAATGATTATAACAATATATTGGAACATATGGCACTGTGGCCATAACTTTTGCAGCTGTTTTGCATGAATTTGTTTTTTTCTTCTTTACAATTCAAGGATATAATAATATTCTTAGTGTAGAAATCACACTTAGAAATCACAGCATACAACATTTTCTTTCCTTATTAAGTCAAGAAATTTCCCCTTTTCACTTAAAGGAAACACTTTACAGATTCTCTTTGGCATATCTGATTGCTAGCATAACTACTCTTGCACTGTGGGGCCATTATTAAGTAAAATAAGGGTTACTTGCACTGAGATATCGGACAGTGGATCTGATAACTGAGACAGTATGGAGACTCTGGACGAAGGGATGACCTACATCCTGGGCGGGACAGATGGCATGAGATTTCATTTCATTATGCTACTCAGAACAGTGTGTAATTTAAAACTTACTAATTGTTTATTTCTGGAATTTTCTATTTAATATTTTCAGACTGCAGTTGGTATAGGGAACTGTAGCCATGGAAAGCAAAACCATAGATAAGGGGACACTATCGTATGTCCAAAAACTAAACTCATAATCCTGCTCTTCAAACCTGGTTTTCTCTCTGTGTCTGTCGCAGTGACCAGCGATCATCTTTGATATCCCCAGTCTATCATCAAGGCCTTTTAAGTGACCTTCCTTACCTCTGGAGTCTATATGTGTATCTCCACCATCAGCACTGCCACCACCTTTGTCTAAGCTATCCCACTTAAGCTCCCCCTCAAGCTGTTGCCATCCTGCAGCCAGCCAGAATTCAAAATTCAACTCTAGTTAATGTCATCTCCTACTTAAAAACCTTCTCATTGCTTATCAATAGACAAAATTCCTCAACTGACCTCTGGCCTCACATGATCTTGCCATGTTATACCAGAAATGTCTTCCTTTCTCACCTCCAGCCCCAGTGGTCTTCTTTCTTGCTGTGTTCTGTCATGCCACAAGGCTTATATTTATGCTATTCTCTCTGCCTGGAATACTCTTGTATCCTCATTGCCTTTTAGATTTTTTAGCTCTTCAGATCCCAGCTCAAGCAAAACTTCTGAAAAGTCCTTCCCCAACTCTCTGACTAGGACAAATCCCTTATAATGACCTTTCTATACACTATGTCCCTGTCCTTTTAGTTCTTGTCATGGTATCAATTTTATATTGATGCTTATTTATTACCTGTTTCCCTAACTAGATTATAAGCCCAACTGAGGGCAGAAACCATGTTTATTTTTACTTACCTTATCCCAGCACCTAGCATGGTTCTTGGCCCATAGTAAGTTCTTAGTAAATTTTGTTGAATGTGTGAGTAAATGAAGGCATAGTTCCTGCTGTCAAGGAAGTCCAGTCTAGAAGGAAGAATAGTATGCAATGCAAAATAAGAGGTATGATCTATTAGAGATATCAGTACAAGTTTTAAAAGGGGCAGGTACTGATCAATGAAATCCCAAAGGCTAGACACCACCACTTTAGATCCTGAGAAGTTTTAAGAGAGACACAGAGAGAGAGAGAGTTTAGAAATATGATCAGATATATACTTCAGAAATTTTTCTCTCTCTGGCACCAGGGTGGGAGATGGATTGTATCAGACTAAACTCAGGGACTTACTTGGCTTTGTTTTTACTCCAGGTTATTTTATTTAGTCTCATTTATATAATGATTGTCTCTTTCTTCTATACATTGATGACCCTTCCCCAACCCCTCTCTTGAACTCTTATTAGATGCTCCTACTTAAATGTCAAAGAGGCATATAAGAAATATAAGTCCAACTACAGAACTGTTGATTTTCTTCCCTCCAAAGCCTGTTTCTCTCTTAGTCTTTTGCATCATGGTAAATGGTAATAAATCTTAGGTAAAAAACATGGGAGTCAAGGCATCTATATCTAAAGTATGGATAAGTTTAATTCCATTAATTACATCTCAACACGTAAGTGTCTCCAGGATTATGCACCCAAAAAAGTCATAATTAGAAAACCCTTCTCTATAGTTAGAAACACTTCTCTACACCCAGAATAAAAAGTAATTCAATTATCTTTTCTTCTAGTATCTACACAGGTTAATTCTCTCACTCCCTACCCCCCACCCCTTCAGCCCCCTGCTGGCTGGTACAGGGCTTGAACCCCAGACCTTGGTGTTATCAGCACCATTCTCCAACCAACTGAGCTAACTGGCCAGCTCAGTTTAATTTTTTTATAGTTAAACCTTTGATCCAATTGGAGCTGTAGTTTATCCTTATGTATGATCTGGGAAATGATCTCATTTTATTGAAGTACTATTTGTAATTGCAAAATGTTGGAAATTATCTAAATGTACAAATATGGGAGATTGATTAAATAAACCATGGTGCTTATACATGCACCCGCACTCCTATGAGTCAACCTCGATTTCTTTCCTTCTTTTCTCCCCCTTCCTCACATTCAGTCCATCATTAAGTGCTGTTGGTTCTACCAACAAACACATCTCACCATCCCCACTCTACTACTATTCTTACCTGTAGAGTATGCATAAAGCATATGTACTCCACAGGCCCTGGTTTTCCAAAGCCTTGCAGTTTCAAATATTGACCTTGCAAAGGATAGGAAATTTTCCTTGGGCTATTTTTTTTGTGTTTTAAGATAAAGAGTTGTAACACAGCAAGGCTGCTGGTTCAAAGGCAGACAAGTTACTGATTGATATGTAAAGATACCGGGAAATTGCTGTAAGAAGAGAATGTTTGCTAAAATCAAGCGTTCGTTCATGGATTGACCTAATTGCATGTTACCAGCTTCTATTGTTAAACTTGTTAAACTATACTTAGCAAAAACCCCACCTGTTTATTACTCCCATTTTCCAGTGAGGAATACTGAGGTTCAGGGGAGGCCCTTCCTTTTCATTTCTCAGAATGCAACAGAAAAGGGACTAAAGATAGAATCCAGGACTTTTCAGGCTTCTCACTGCTCAGAAGAGATGGGCTTTGAGTAATCTTTGGCGGCTCCATCACCCAGGGGAAAAGGGGTGACAAATCTGTGGGAGGCAAAGCAACACTTGCCCAAGTCACCATCATTTCTTGCTTAGTTTTCCTACTTTCATTCTTGACCCCCTTTAATAATTTTCTATACAGCTGTTAATGTTTTTTTTTTTTTTAAAGAAAAGGTCAGAGAATGTCACAGACCTATTTAAAAATCTCCAGTGATTTCCCATGGAACTTAATATGAAAATCTAAACTCTTGACCATGGTCTACTGATCTGGCCAACTTTTTGGCTGTATCTTCTACCTCTCTACCCCTTGCTCACTCACTCCAGCTATAAGCTCTTTTCTGCCTTAGAGCCCAGAAGGTTCTTCTCCATGGCTGTACCCTTCTATCATTCAAGTTGCAGTTAGAGGTCTTTAAAGAGGCCTTCTCTGGCGCTACAGTTTAATATTTTATCCCCCATCTTTCTCCCAGTCACTCTTTATCACATTTCCCTGTTTTAATTTCTTCATTGTATTTATCAGTATAAGAAAAAAATTCCTTCTTTCTTTCCTCCTTCCATTCCTCCTTCTATTCCTCCTTTCTGTTTCCTCCTTCCTTTATTTATTTATGTTTCTTACCCTCCAGATTCTAGGCTTTGTCAGAGGTAGAATTTTATCCTTTTTGTTTACTTCTATACCTCCAGTGTCTGGAGCATTCCTACAATCCTGACACATAGAAAACACTCTGTGAATATGAATATAGTCATTCACTGTATGTGTGTATAATATTAAATAAATTGTTCAGGTTACTCTTTAAAATAAAACAGTCATTAAACACTATGTTCAAAGTGTTCAAATGTAGAATATGTGAAAAGGAATAGACAGTTCCCTGAAAGATTGGGGAAGGAGAAAACAATAGCAAATGCTTTGTGTTGTTGCTTTATTCAACTTTTTGTTTTTAGGCAGATTGGAGTAATAATCAGAGTGGCAGATGGGTGAAGTCCTAGAAAGCAACAGGAGGGCAAGAAAGAGGTGGAGCAATGAAGTGTATAAAGTGAAAATAATGGGATAGGCATAGTTTAGTAAGACTTAGATCTTTTCTTTATTTCTGGAGAGGGGCCAGTACAAATTACATGTTAATATTCAACTCTTGGTTTTCTGGATTGATGGAAGGAAAGAGAAGGATGAATGAATCCAAAGTAAGAGGGTAGTTTTTAACAATTATATTTGTTTTTGGAATTCAGCCAGAGGTTTATGAGCCATAGATGTTCATCACCCCTCTTAGGACCAAGTTCCTTTTCAGCAGCCCAAGTGGAACCATAAATGAAGTGAGTGGAATAAGGCTTCCTTGCTATTGCCCTGCTCACTCTCCATAGCTAGCTTTATACCTTTTGCTGGGTATTTTAAATTAAAAGAGGTTCTGGTAAAAGTAAATTTATAGACTGGAACTTTTCTCCAGAGTGCATAAGTCTCATTCAGTTTGAAACTACAGCTTTTCTCCCATAGCTTTTTTCCTATCTATTTCCCATCTACTAACCCTCAAAAAGCCTTGTTCATCCTCCTGCACTCAGCCCAAGTCCCAACCTCTGTGATCTTCCCAATAGTTTGAGACCAAAATGAATTCCTCATATTGAAACTTCTTTGACACTCATGTTATACTGCTTAGTAATTACTCCATGAACATGTGTTTTGCTTTCTTCATTGGGCTGTAAGCTCCTTGAGGTTATGGATATTCTATATGTACGCCATTTATTTTGTGGAGGCTGAGGCATTCTCAGCCCAGTTCTGGGCTAATGGAAGGTGTTAAAAGTGAATAAAACAGGTTATTTAGGCCCAATTCACATATCCTTGCTCAAAATGTAATCTACGTGAGTCCTCTGTGATGAATCTAGTATTAGTTTTTCTCCATACAAATCATTAATGACATTTTTTTTTTATCTCTTCCAAATTAATTAGGAAGGCGCTAGGGAAATCATTTTTGATTTGCAAGTGAAATAATGTACTACTTTTCAGAATGAAAGCATTTGTGAATTATTTTTGTTATGAACAATTTAGGATATTTGGGGATATTCTTTTTCTATGTAAAATAGTTCAAAACAGGATCTTGATTATGCTTCTGAGATGCATATTTAAAAACAAAAATGAAATATCTTCTTGAAAGTTTGCCTCGTAGTAAATTTAGTCACTCAAATTGTTTTCTTTCAAGACCCAAAAATGCCAGGGCATTGCCAGCCTTGAGTTTATCCTGAAAAAGGAGAGAGAAAAAGTTTTATTTTAAAGCAGTATTGGTTGTTTTATAAGTACTTTATTGAGTGTCTTTATTAGGTTTTTAAAAAATAAGCTCCCCAATATGAGAGAAAAATATTAGCAGGTTATATAATGAATCTCTTACTAAAAGCCTCTTTACACTGTTTTGTCCCACTATTTGAAATCTAAAGCTGAAACTTGGTTGTAGGAGGAAAAGAAAGACTTATAAGGGGGAGAGAGTCCTCCTAGGGAAATTCCCTTCTTTGGAAACCTTTGGTTGAACCCTTTAGTGGTTTTAAGAACTATTTGGAGGCAAATACAGAGAAGATGTACAGTTTAAGTCTGCAGGACAGGAGAGTTGGAAACAGTGCCAGAAATCATCTAGACATCCAGCTCTAGGTGTATGCATTGTCCTTTCACATGGCCCTAAATAAAAGGAGAGCTCTTTCAGTGCAAGAGTAATGATACATAAGAAGGGTCTCAGATGAGGATACAAATCTGTACATCTCATAAATTTCGCATGAAAAAGGGGCTTTCCAATTTTTCTCCAAGTACTCCCCAGCCATAGACTATATCAACTTTGCAGAAAGAAGTGATTTGAGGGGCAACTATGTGATACCCTAATAGAGCAAAGGACAGGCAGGTAGTTGAGGGTGGAAGGAACCATGTATGGGGCTGTACAACATTCATACCATCAATGTATCTTTATCTATTATGACTACTTCATGGTTTCTACACTGCCTTGAAGGAAGTGATTTGAGGCAAGGGCCTCTTACTCAGTGTTTTTCCCTGTTGTCCACTTGGGCCATCCTTCTCTAGAGGAAGATTTCAGAAGTGACTATTGCTGCTCAGAGAAACCATTTGCATTACATTTAAAAATAGGTTGGTACTAAATATGTTTTGAAAGACGTACCCTTTGTTATGTTGGACAGAGATCTGATCCTGGATTCAAGGGATCAGGGGCTACATCCATGTTACACAGATGCTTCTTGACTTACAATGGGGTTATATCGTAAGTTGAAATGCATTTAATACACCTAAGTTACTGAACATCATAGCTTAGCCTAGCCTACCCTAAACATGCTCAGAACACTTATATTAGCTTACAGTTGGGTAAAATCATATAACACAAAGCCTATTTTATAATAGTGTTGAATATCTCATGTAATTTATTGTATACAGTACACCGTGAAGTACAATATCAGTTGTTTACTTTCATGATTGAGTGGCTGACTGGGAGCTGTGCCTCACTGTTGCTCCCCAGTATTGTGAGAGAGTATCATAGCCCAGGAAAAAAGCAAAATTCAAAATTTGAAGTATGGTTTCTACTGAATGCATATCACTTTCACATCATCGTAAAGTTGAATAATCTTAAGTTAAACCATTATACATTGGGGATCATCTGTATTATGATTACGATGTCTTGTTTTTCTCCTCCACATGGTGGAACGTGTCTGCCTGTATACCTCCAGTGTTGTACTCATCAAATGGATTTATTTATTTTTCTTTAAATTTCTTTAGTGGTATTTAACTTCACCTGGTTCAAAATTCAAAACGTATAAAATGGATACTTCCTTCTATTACTTCCACCTAGCTACCACTTTTTCTTCCCAGAGTCATCAGTTTCTTGTTTATTCTTTTCAGAGATATTTTGTGTATGTACTTGTGTAAGCAAATATTTATATTTTAGTATATAAATATTCTTTTTCACAAATGGATAATATACTATCTGCAAATGGAAGTATACTATACAAGTTGTTTTGTACCTTGCTTTTTAAAAAAAACTTAATATATCTTATAAATTGATTTCTAATATTTTTTAGGCTGCATAGGTTCCATTGTATGGATATATTAGTAACTATTCCCCTAAAGATTGTTTTCAGTGTTTTATTACAATGTTATCATGAGGAACATTGTACAGAATGTCATTGTGAATTTGTGACAATTTAAAATTTTTATGCAAGATTTTTAAAAAACTTGAAGTGATAAAAATAATAAGAAGCATAAAATAATAATTACTATTCCGCAGAAGTCTTAGGATACTTGATGTAATCTGGTTTCGGTTTAATTTTGGCTAACTTTGTAGAAAGTTTTTCATTTTCATTATTTACATTTTCTTTGTAAAAAAAAAAAAAGTAAAAAGTAGTCTTAGGACAGCTTCATACTTCATAGTAGTTAAATATTTAACAATTCAAGATTTTTAGTGCCTTAAAGTGGGTAAGTGCCAAAGGGGACTCCTGTATAAAACGGTCTGAAGTTTCCCAGTTAATAACTTGTTACCAGTATGCATCAGAATGAACTCTTCTTGGATATGTTAATGTGCTTTAAGCCTATTTTGAAGATTTCATGAGCTATATCTTTAATGCCTAAAACAGAGAGAGTTCTTTTGGATTCTAGTTTAGAAGAACGCCAAAAATTATGCAAAAGGATTCTGACTAAGACTTTAAGATTTATTTAGTTTATTATACCCATGTTTTCATTTTTGGCCATCCCTGACCCCTGGCAGTGATTGGTTGTAAAGCCCTTAGGAAGACCTTGGTTGTTTTTGCATATGGGGTGTGGAAGGGGATGGCAAAGGAGAGTGAATCTGAGGACACTGCATCTTATTTTAAACTCAACTTGGTTCAGGGGCTTAAGGAATAGACTAGGTAGTGGTAGCACTATACCACTAAACAGTCAAATGCAAAAAAAAAAAAAAAAAAAAATTCCAGTTACTTGAGGGTTCTGATTCCTTACATCCTTGTTAATCAAGACTTTAGTCTCAATATCCAAATAACTACTCATTACAAATTTTGAGACTGGTAGATTAGTATAGAAATAGTAAAGGAAAAATTTAGACATTATTTTTCTTATGCTCCATCTAACATGAAAGCATGTATTACTATGATATACTTCTTTACAGTTTTTTTTCCTCCTTGGCTTTATAAATTTAGTTGTAATAGGCTTTCAACTTTTTAACATTCCTTTTCCCTTTAATAATTTAGAGTAATAGTTTCTAGAGATAGTCATTGTTCTAGGCATATTAAGTGTAATGTTTCATCTGTTCTTTGTTATCATGTACCAAAGTGCTCTGAAACCATACCCAGTTAAAGTAGTAAAACGCAGTAGAAGATCATGAAGTAAAAGGCATTTACCTTTGTTTCTTCATCAAAGTCTTCCATGGACTCTATCAGTTTCCCAGGTTCTAGCTCACCTAGTGGAAAGGGGTAATCAGTTCCCAAAATGACTTTATCCTGAAAAAAGAAAATACATTTTCATCTGTAATTTTGTGGAATATCAAAAAGCATCCTATAAACTTAATTATATTTACTTATTATAAAAACTCCTATGGTAAAATAACAAATTTCTTCCTGATTAATAGAAACATAAAACTATTGCAGGGAACCCTAAGCATTTTTAATTGTGAAGCTTTTCCCTTTTCTACTTGAGAAACTGTTTTAGAAACTTTATGCTCGAGCCCCTGCCATTTACCCTGCTTGCTTCTTGGGCCCACCTTCTATGAGATAACAGCAGTCTCACACTCCTCCTCCAGGGGCCAGAGGCAAATTAGGCTCCTAAAGTGACCAACAGACTGTGTCCCATAACCAGCCAATCCATATTAGCAGGACAGCATCCCTCATTTACATAAGAGGACCTAAATGAGAACCTAGGAGGGAGAAGGGCAGGAATTTAGGCTATATAAAGGGGTCAGTTCCTTTGTTCGGGGAGACACTGGCTTGGGGGTTTCTGCCCTCCAGTGTTCTCCTTGCTTGCAAGCAAAAAGAGGCGCTATAACACTGAACAAAGAGCCGCAACACTAAAATAAAGAGTTATAAAACTACAACGCAAACGTTGGGCTTGGATTCCTCTGTGCATTTGCCCCACAACAAAACTAGTCAAAAATTTTAAAGATTTAATGGTTCAAAATTTATTCTGACATTTTTTCCAGTAGGTGTCACTATTAGGTCTCTTGAAGTTGTAAATCAACCCTCATCCTATCCCCCTCCTTTTTAAAAAATAACTGAAATAGAGAATGCTGAAATATAAGACATATGCATTTATTTAATAAAACTTAGTGATACATTGCAATTGATCCCACAATTTTTGAAAGCATTCTAGAGTTGGAAATATATACAAAGAAATTAATTGCAACATTATTTGTATCAGCAAGAGATTAGCTAGCTAAATTATAGAGTATCCAAAAACAGAGAGGAATAAAGAATATTTACATATACTGAAATGGAATAACCTGCAAGTTATATTGTAAAGAGGAAAAAAAAGTCTAGAACAATGTGTTTGCTATGCTCATAATTCTGCTTTTAACAAGGGAACTATAAACCAACAAATATATATTTGCATATTTACAGTCTATTTCAGGAATGGTAAGAAAGAACATTAGTTGCCTCCATGGATGAGGACTAGGGTTTGGGAGTCAGGAGATCCCCCCTCTTTTTTTGAGATATAATTCATATACCATAAAATTCACCCTTTTAAAGTGTATGACTCAAGGGCCAGCCCATGGCTCACTTGGGAGAGTGTGGTGCTGGTAACACCAAGGCCACGGGTTCGGATCCCTATATAGGGATGTCCGGTTAGCTCACTTGGGAAAGCGTGGTGCCGACAACACCAAGTCAAGATCCCCTTACTGGTCATCTTTAAAAAAATAAATAAATAAAAATAAAGTGTATGACTCAGTGGTTTTTTTTTTTTTTTTCCTTTAAATTTTTATTTTGTCAATATACAATGTGGTTGATTATTATGGCCCATCACCGAAATCTCCCTCCCTCCTCCCTCTCCCCCCTCCCACCCAAGAATGTACTTTCCGTTTGCTTGTTGTAACAACTTCAAAAAAATTGTAGTTGTTATATCTTCTCCCCCTCCCCCCCGGTTTTTTTTTGTGTGTGTGTGAGTGAATTTATTTATTTATTTTTAGCTCCCACCAATAAGTGAGAACATGTGGTATTTCTTTTTCTCTGCCTGACTT